CGAAATATAAATCTTCAAAGCTAATACTTTAAACAGGGACCTGGAAACTGATCCCGAAATATAAATCTTCAAAGTTAGTACTTTAAACAGGGACCTGGAAACTGATCCCGAAATATAAATCTTCAAAGCTAATACTTTAAACAGGGACCTGGAAACTGATCCCGAAATATAAATCTTCAAAGTTAGTACTTTAAACAGAGACCTAGAAAGTGATCCTACGACATGAACATCAAACATTTTATAAATTACCCATAAAAGATAAAAACTTTACAAATGAACATGGGAGCAACAGCAAAGTGATCCTTAAACATAGCTCTTCAAAATTAAGAAACTTTAACAAATGGCAATAGGGACAATAAAGTGATTTTGAGATTCAGATCTTCAAAGTCTATACTTTTACAAAGAGGCTTGATTGCAGTAAAATAATCTTGACATATAGATTTTCAAAGTTTATTATTTGTTTTAAGGGAATCTAAGGGCAACAAGGAGTTGATTATGGGTTATGACATTAAACGTTTAGATGTCAAGAACGGTCGCGAGAACAACAAAGTGATCCAGCAAACAACCTTCAAAATTGTTTTTAAACAAAGAGTTAAAAGGCAACAAAGTGATCCAGTATACCCAAACTTGAAATTGTTCTTTAAACAAGTACTTAAAAGTATATATATATAGAGAGAGAGAGGGAGAGAAATATATATATATAGAAAATAAAGTCACAATACTTATTTTGGAAAGTTAAGGTTACATAATATGACTTTCATCATTGTCGTCACTTTAAATACAAGTATGTTTAATAAGAGTTGTCTCCACGATGACTAAGCGATAAGTTTGAGGTACTATAACACTCCAATTCAACGTTCATAACTTGTCCAATGTGTATATTTCAACACAAATGGTAAATGGTGAATTCAGTTATTTAAAAAAAAGGAAGCTATTTATAACACTCCAATTCAACGTTCATAACTTGTCCAATGTGTATATTTCAACACAAATGGTGAATTCAGTTATTTAAAAAAAAGGAAGCTATTTATAACACTCAAATTCAACGTTCGATCGCTGTGATGAATACAGCATGGATTGTCCAGCGTATATTTTAATACGAATGATAAAAGTTGGATTCATTTGGTAGAGATGTTAAAATATAAAACTTGTTCGTTCCTGTATTATGATGATGATGTATAAAAGTCTTTTCTAACTTGGCATATATTACCATTAGACACTCTGTTTCAGAGAAACTGACAGCTAGTAATCAGCAGACATATTGGATCTGTCCGTTAAAGTGACGGCTATGAAGCTTTTAATACAGAAATTTATATCCAAAAACTCACTTGTGTTTTTTTTTTAAACATTGAAATATAAAACGTGTCAAAATGTGACAAAATATGGGACAGTTTGTTCATATTTGTCGTGTGTTTTATATTTACATATAACATATTTTAGTCCTCTATCGGCAATAGAAGGAACTAGAGCTGTCGCTGTATCTTGTCTGAAGTATCACGTTTCTGTATGTGTGTGTGATGTACAAACCAAATAACATTTGCGATTTGTCTGTATGGTATAATATTGAAAAATAAAAGGAGATATCAAAAATATGCATCTTGTTGTTAAAATTGCTTAGATACACGGGGGTTATTGAAACCAAAACCTTAACCTAACTATCTATCAAGTGTATTTAAACAGAAAGCACCAACATTGTATTTTGTGTTTATGACAAAACTACTAAGGCTGTCTTCCACCATCCTTAATTTTGAACTACTGACCAGAGTGAAGACAGCCTGTCGACAGCACCCTATTAGTGGATCGACAGTCACTCTTAGAACACGCCCACAACTTAAATTGGGGTTTATCTTCCGCCATCTTTAATTTTGAAATACTGACCAGAGTGGAGGCAGCCTGTTGACAGCACTCCACCACATATGCTAATGGATTGACAGTCACGCTTATAACGCACCCAAAACTCAAATTGGGTGAATATATTTTGTGTATCGCACAGATTCATATCAGCTTGCCAGCTCCAAAACCCAGGTTTCTACTAGCAGTGTATCTTCCATTTAAACACTGAAATTAAACCCTAACTAAATATGGCTGAATGGATAACTTAAAGTTACAACAGTAACTAAAACCAAAACCTAATTTCTTATCTATAAATAAACTCAATCTCACAGAGTTAAATTGAATCAAAAACCTATGTTTTATGTCAATCGTTAAGTGAAACTTACAGAGGTAATTGAAACAAAACAAATCTATAAACCATTAAATCAGGTTTACAGACGTTATTGAAACTAAAACCTAACTAAGTTTGTAACAGTCTAAAATGAACACGCCGCAACAAGCAGGATTCATCATCAACAACAAAAATACAAGTTATTCGACAATAACAACACTTAGAATTAATTCAACACTTACCAAAACATAGCTAATAAACACGTGCCCGGCCAGGACTTGACATTAAAGTTAATAAAAAATATATCATAAATATCAATATTATTCCCA